TGAAGTAGGTAGAGGACATACACATCTGAATGAGATCGACGATGCTGTCTGTAGTAAGTGTAGTATCTAGTGGGGTCTCTAATTTAGATATCTTATCTCTTATGATACTCAACACATCTTTACATGGGACATTGGTGAATAAGTCGACAACATCATATGAGTACATCTTCCCTGTGATCTGCAGTTCTTTCAATTTGGTGACAAATTCTTCTGAGTCTTTAATGAATGAGTTAGCTGTTTTCCCCAAAGGTGCCAAGATTCTGCTAAGATGTTGGGCGATGTTATAGAAGACAGAATCCCGAGAGCATATGAGTAGCCGAGCCTTGATGGGGTTTTTGTGGATTTTAATTGTTGCTCTGGCATATGGTGAACGTGGGTGGCGGCTTGATCTCAGTTTAAATTTAAGTTGATTGGTAATTTGGTTACTGGATTCAAGTTCGTTTAACTTCTTGTCCAACCTGTCTTTGTATATGCTCGTTGGGTTTTTGCGGAGTCTTCTGTAAGTTTTCGCATCACTAAGTAGTTCTGTGACAGTTTCTTGGTACTCTTTCTTATCCATGATAACTGTGGCTTTCCCTTTGTCTGCTGGTAAAATGGCGATCTTATTATCTTGTCTGAGGTCAGTGAGTGCATCCCTCTGTACTTTGGTTAAGTTGTTGGGTTGTATCTTGTTTTTAGCGAGGATCTCTGTCACTTGGTGTCTCAGATAGTTGATATGACCGCCTGGTGCTAATTGGTGTAAGCCACGTTCTATGTTGACGATGAAGTCATCATGGTTTTTGAGTTTGGTAACGGGTGAAAACTTAAGACCTCGGGAGAGGAGGTTTATCTGCTCGTCTGTAAGATGTTTCTGGCTTAGGTTGATAACAGTTTTGGTTAGGAATTCATTTTTGTATGTCAAAGTATACATTAATACATTTTACCTTGCTTGAAACTACTGGTTTCATTCTACTAGCTGACATTGTAGAGAAAACCCATGTTTATCAAAATAAACTAATACAAGGTCACTCATGTAAATTATTAATCCTTTCCGGAAATCCACGAAATTAGGTTACTTGAATGTATACTACATTTCTATGATTTGTGTTATGAAAAGTGGTCAGTTTCAGATATCTGGAGTTTCTCCACAATTTAGGGTTTTTCCAGGGTCGTACCTTGTCCATATTTTTTTTCGCACCAAACAAGAGAGTCTGTGGTTATAATTCCAAACAGGATTATTCAGTTTGTGTGACAAATCTTTGACAAGCACAGTATCGACATCTATGAAGTAACATGAAAATAAACCGAGTGAAAAAGAAATAGTGTATTTAAATCTTACTCTTCAATGGTGGATCAACAGTTGGAATGGTGGCTGGGGCAATACTTGATGATGGTGGATCATCCTCGTGACCATTCTGACCTGTGATCTTTGAAATACTCGATCCGGTCAAATTCAGCAATAGTGCTGCGTAAATAAATGTCAAAAATGCCATCGTCCTTTTAAGTTTCACTTGGGTTTATCCTTTTTGACAGGCTTCCAAGACCTACCAATCAGGTCCTTTAATCAACAAAAAATGCTTCATAGCGTTTTATTTTAACCCACTGTATTTTAGCCACTTAAAACATAGTCATAACAAATAATTATTTCCTTTCAGCAGCTTGTGATGTCTCCTTACTTTTTTTTAGTCACGAGTATCAAAACTTCCGGTTCAAAAAGGTTAAATACAACTAGTTTGTACCTATATAAACAAACTTTAAAGAATTCGTACCCAGGTGATTTGTCTCAAAAGAACTGACTATAGAAGTTCAAAATACCATTCAGCGTTAGGTTTTCATGATTTTACACTTCACAATCAAATTGGAACGGCCACCAATGTTCTACAATGTGTGTATAGAAAGCACTCTGGTTACGAAAAGTTCAAATTAGGCTACGGTCTAAAAGTGAAAGTAGAGCACCAATGAAGCTCTTCAAATTACCTCCTTCAAATTAATCACTGTTATCACTATCAGATAAAATGTCAACTCACATCAACAATCTACAATATTTTATCACGTTGTTTCAGATAGATGCGTAGATTCTTAAAGTATAGCTTAGTACAGTGGTGGTGATTTACAATTTGTTAGTCCGAATCTGCCTCTATCCAGCCTCTGATCATAGAACTAGTTCTATGCTTTTTGACCGTATTAACTGTCCGTAGTTGAGTTTCAGCTTGCGCTAAGGCTACGGAAAAGGAAGTCTGGACTGCAATTGTCATGTGTACATGCAAACTGAAACTCAACAACGGACGGTTAACACGGTGCCAAAATGGGGGATGACCCCATTGTTTAATAACATTCAGTTTCCGAACATTAGTCTATGAAAGACCGGACATAAAAGGGAAATCGCATGGTATTGGGTCAGGAAACAATTGAGAGGAAAATCCCACACAGTAATAATGTCATAAAGGGTGTTCATAACCAAGTCACTGATCGCGAAATATGTTTGTTCACATAGTGTAGGGCCCTTTACGTCTCCGACGCTTAGTTTGAGCGGAATTGCAGGAACCAATGATGTCTGACTGAAATTGAAAACCGGAATGGTGCAAATTGATGCTATCAGTGTCCCCGATACTTACAAACCGCGTTACAATCCCTTTAAGTTCCAGGTATTCACAAGGAGCCTACCCATTTTTTTTTGTTTATCAAAATTGGTTATTTAAACTACTGCAGTAGCCTATATTTGTATAATTTTCATTTTGATAGATTGCAGAGGTTAATATTTAGAGCTTGATCTGTATTTTAGGTCAATGTATTTACTACCAAATGTTACAAAAATCTATTAAAAACTGTAGGCCTTTTCGTGCGTTGACGAGAAAAAAGGACGATGCAAATTCAGAGGAAAACTCATTTAACGGGAAATAAAGCGTGTTCCCATTTTACAAAGATTATCTTTGAAGGCCTAATCAAACCAATGCAGAAAACTGAAAGTTATAACTTCTCTTTCAAATTATCCGCCTTCATTAGCCAACTTGATGCAGAAAAATTAGGACGTAAAACTCCATTATCATTTCATATCATTTATTTCAAATAAAATTTCATTTCACTTTCTGAAAACTGCTATTTTCATTAACAGCGTTCACTCATCGAAGGCATCCGCAAAGTACTTTTATTTCAACCGAACAAAATCATGTCACAAAATATAAAACTCTGTGGCCGCAATTTTGATGGATGTTTCTTTCCAGTGAACATGAATTAAAGACAAAATTTAATTGATATGTAGTTCAGTGGAAGAATCTTAGTCGCAAATCCCTAATAATAGTTGTTCATCCAAAATATTTTTTAAATTGGTGCATTCTGACTTATGTCAAAAATTATTAATTACAAATGGAAAGTTACAAAGACGACTCGTCATTTTAAGACTTCCTTATACAGAAAAGACATACAGAAATATAAAGAGAAATTGCTAGTTTGAGGAAGGAATTATGTGATTTTCACACATTTCTGGTATAGTTCTGAATACTATTTACATATAATATTCTAGACCCTAATCGATCCCCCGAAAATGGTGAATCTGTCTCTTTAATCTTTATCGGTTGAAAACTAAAGGAGTAAATGAATTTTCACATTTTGATATCAATGGTTTGCTGAAACAAGGTTATTAAAATTCGAAACTGTAGGGCCTACAGCATACCATACCAAGTTCTCCAATAAATTGCCACCATTTTTAATATGCGACATTATAGGAGTTAATATTTGGAAAGAGCTCAAATTCGACCTTGATCTTCATTCGAGTTTTATCAAAATTGTTTTTAAAAATGTAGAATTAATTGAGTTTATGAGAAATATGAAGACTGAATTTTTTAACATAAATATGAAAAGAATTAATGAACAGGCTTTTGTCTATATAACCCCTCTCCCAATACAAAATTGTCTGTTATGTAATGTAAATATACTGTAAAATTAATATAGAATACATAGACATCTACATCCACATACTCTGAATGCAAAGGAGGGTTTATAGAAATATTAGGCGCATCTAAATACAAGGAAGAGTTCAGAAGAAAGTGTTCAGAGGCATCACATCCTTAGTCAGAGCCTATCTGTTGGATCAATCATAGGATAAGCTTTTACATAATATAAGATGATTTAGATAATGGTAAGGATGAAAGTAACCTCATCAAGCCAGAAAAGATCACAATAACCAAACAACCAGTTTATCCGATTTTGAACCCCATTCGAAACAGCACCTACACATAACTTGCCCACATACGTGTGTGTAGGTCAGGAAAAACAATCTGGAGATTTGCCTTGAAAATCTGGAGATTTGGTGAAAAGTCGGGAGATTTTTCCAAAGCGTGTAAATTCGTGATTTAAAACTCCAAATCAATTCTTTTTTGTTAAATAAGCTTTAAGCCCTTAAATTAATTAAATTGATCATATATAGGCCTACATGACACAGTAAAAATTAACAATCTATAATTAGTGATAATTCTAGAAATAGTGACTGATATTTCAAATTTAGGGGCCCAAAATTTTATATTGTCATTCTTCACTATTGATTGAATCAAAAATGATGTCAAGGTGAAATGATGTTTGAAAGCAAGAAAGCAAGCATGACCCCAGCCCTCTAAATTAAATGGTACCTGTACGGGCGGTAGGCCTACATCGTATAATATTATGTAAAACCATATTAAATGGATACTACGTCTTAGAATACACTCGTCCTGTGGCTAATATTTGTGTTTAATAGTTACAATTGGTTAAATAAGTATGCATCCCACACTTTATCAAGTTTGAAAAAGCGACAATAAAACTATAATCAGAATTTTAAAAAAAGTGAGCAAGCGATGCTTTCAATGGCAGGTATGCGTTAAACATAAAATTACGTATATAAAGTTTACTTAGGACTTAGGAGTGCGCATTGTTTGTCTTATAAATAATGAGTTATATAGTAACGTCTAGTAGTAGTAGTAGGTATCATAGATTGAACTTGTTGACATCATGTTTCCATGCTCGATTCAGACTTGAATTTGAATGTGTTCAGAGTTGGTGATTCAACAACACAGTCTGGCACTGATGGCACGAAGTAGTTCTTTCTAATATCAAGTCGTGTGTGTGGTTTATTTATCTTCCAGTGGTGGCCTCTGGTTCTTTTGTATGTTGTTAGTGGTAACATCATTTTGTTCACCAAGGTGTCTACGCCATTGAGATATCTGTAGATCTGTGTGGCATCAGCCCTTTTTCTTCTGTATGCAAGTGTTGGCAGACCAAGTATTTTTTGTCGTTCGTTGTACGGTAGTTCTTTAAGATGGTGGTATTAGTTTTGTTGCTCTTCGTTGGACATTTTCTAGAGAGAGGATATCTTTCTTGAGCATAGGGCACCATGGGGTCTAACGAGACATTTGTAAAGGGGCATGAATATGTCTTTATCAATGCTGGTGAAAGTTCTTCTAATCAGTCCCACCAGACGGTTTGATTTCTTTACAGATTCAGAGACATGTTTGCTGAACTTGAGGGTTTCATCTATGGTTATGTCCAGATCTTTCTCGCTGTTGACTTGTTGAAGTGTATTTGGTGTTGTGATGGAAGTCGTAAATATTGGTGCCTGGGATTGTTGAAGCCGAAGTGGACTGTTTTACACTTGCCATTATTAAATTCCATTCGCCAGGTTACTGTCCAGTCTATCGGGTTGTTCAAATCAGTTTGTGGCTGGTTTCTATCTTCTGCAGTTGAGCATGGACCGTAGAGTTTGGTGTCATCGGCAAATAGTTTCACAAATGATTTCACCGCATTTGGTATATCGTTGATGAAGATAATGAATAGTACTGGGCCCAGAACACTTCCTTGTGGAACTCCACTGATCACTTTAGTCCATTGAGATGCGGTGTTGTTTAGGATGACTCGCTGTTTACGGTTAGTAAGGTAGTTTTCTATCCATTTTAATAGATGTCCAGATATTCCAATTTTGCGTAGTTTAAGGATGAGACGTTGGTGTGGTACTTTATCGAAGGCCTTACAGAAGTCTAAGTATATCACATCTGTGGGTATTTGGTTGTCTGTTGCGTCTGTTATGTAGTCTAGAAGTTGGGTTGATGTAGATCTTCCTCGTCTAAAGCCATACTGGTCTACGCATAGGAGGTTATTCACTTCAAGATGGTTCATGATTTCGTCTTTGATGATGGACTCAAGCATTTTCACAATCAGGCTAGTAAGGCTTATGGGTCTATAATTTGATGTACTCTTTTTGCTGCCTTTCTTGGAGATGGGTGTGATATATTACCTTCTTTCCAAGCATCTGGTAGTATTCCTTCTTTGAGAGAGCTGTTGAAGAGGATAGCCAATGGTTCGCCTAGTGCTGTGCTCAGTTCCTTCAAGACCAGAGGATTTGTCGGTTCTAATCAGACCTAGTTTCTTGGACACCATCTCTCTGGTTATATGGATATTATTAACTTCAGGAAGGTTGGTACTGTTAAGTTCATGCATCTTCATTGGTTCCTCAACAGTGAATACGCTACTGAAGAAAGTGTTCAACTCTATGGCTTTGTCGATATCTTCGGTGATAGACTGTCCATCTTCAGCTGTCAGGGTAAGAATTGGGCTGTGTATTTTCGTTTTTGATTTAACATATCTCCAGAAGTTCTTTGGATTGTCTTTGATATCTGCAGCGATTTCTTTTTCGAAGTTTTAATGCGCTTTCATTTGGACGGATAGGCTCTGTTACTTGCAATTCTATATTCTTCGTAATGACATTTGTTTTATTTCTGCAATACTTGTTCCACTTTTTTCTCTCGCTCTTAAGAGCTGTGATGACTTCACTGTTATGCCATAGTTGGGCGTTTCTTTTTCTTGGTGATACTCTGGCTTTTGGTATGTTATCTATTGTTATTTTGTCCAGGATGTTTTTAAAGGAATTCCACTTTTTACACGTTGTAGACTCGTCTAGGACTTCTTTCCAATTATATTGACATATAGATGAAATCATTCCCGCATAATTACCAGCATAGTATCTATACTTTTCATTGGTTGGTGGCTGTTGGTCTAACGTACCATATGTTCACTTTTACCAATACATTCTACATTTGTATATACAATTTCAAGATCTTCATCATTCGTGCTGTTTTGTACATGTGCTTGGTGGGTAAAACTAACGTCCTATGCTTCATCTACTCCCGCTACAGAAAAGCTTTCACTATATATCATAGTCTCCTCTTCGCTACCATAAGTCATGGATTCGTTGATGATGGTGTCGTTTCCAGTGTATGAGATCAGTCTTCTCCTTTCTCTGTTGAGGTTAGTTGGCTGGTCTCTTCTTGTTGGTAATGGGGTGCTTGTCATTGTGATTGCTGCTGGATATGTTGGTCTTGGTTGTGCTGTCAAGAGTGGAGTCAGTGGCAATGGGGGATGAGGTGCTAAGTTTGCAGTATTGTTATTATTGTAACTGTGTGCATATTTAGTAAATAATATGTACTGGCAATGTTACTTTTTCCACACTCATGCCAAGTATCGTTAAAATCCGTCAAGAATCTAGAGTGTTTACGAGCTAAAAATTGAACACGTTTTCAAGAACAAGGGCAATAATTTATACTTAATATTTTTCGATTCTTCTGATTTTCAATAGGGTTCATCCTTGAGTGATTATGAACACTCATACCAAGTTTTGTCAAAATCCGTCAAGAATTGTATCTTGTAGAGTGTTTACGAGCAATTGTGGACGGACCGAAGGACATGGGTGACGCCAATATACGCCCCCTCATTTCATGTGGGCGTATAAAAAAGGATTCTGAAACGACGTCTTTGTTGCCCATACAACATAAAAGACTAAAATTCAACAAGTTTAATAGGCTACTGAATTAAAGCTAATAAGAGTACATGTATGATCAAATTTAACACAATAAAAGAAAGATAAAAAATATACATTAGAGTAAACAAGCTAGTGTACAACCTATAATCTCTGATCTCAAGAAACTTTCAGCCTTTATTTGCACCAATTCTCTTATTTCTTGTCCTCACATGTCATCCCTGTAATTCTAGGAAAACTTGACCAAACCATAATCACTATGGTCCATTATCTTTTGCTTTGATTGCCATAACCTTGATAAAGTGGTGATTTATTTTTCATGGAACTACATCTTATCCCGAATACAGATTTGATATTTTCTTATTAACGAGGCAATATGAAAAATTCGAATGAGGTTTGGACAGAATGATGGAACTACAGAAACAACAAAGAACAAGTGGTTGCCTAACAAGATACGCCCACTTTCCTGATACATTGTCAGTATATCAAGGGCAGTCACCTATCTGTGTCAAATCATACCAAAAATCTAATTTTTACACACAAAATTAATCAAATTCTGACATAATCTGTCGCCTCAGGTTCACAAGCCAACAAATTTTAATGCCTTTTTTTTTTTACTAAGTCAAGGGCATAACTCAAATGCTGTTGATCGAAAAGTTATCAAATTCAAACTTGACTAAGATCTCATCATTATAAATAATCATACCAAATTTCATTTCAATCGGATGAAAACTGTAGTCTCTATTGTGTTCACAAACAAATTTTGTAAGTCAAGGGCAATAACTCAAAAACCATTCATTGAAAAATTGTCAAATTCGAACTTCAATTTAATGATAACACCGAATTTCATGAAAATCAGATAAAAACTGTAGTCTCTATTGCGTTCACAAGCCAGACGGATGGACAGTGGCGATGACAATATATGACCACATTATAATGATTGATATATTGATTCGTTCAAACACATTACATAACTAAAGGCTAGAATTCAAAACAAAAATGATAATTTGGGCGAAATTTTAAAGAATGAGATGGTGCTCTCCACTGTAAAGATATTAAAAATTAGTCAGATACATCCACACTGGCATGCAATAAAAAAGAAGAAACTTAACTTTGTGTTGGATCTTTGGTCCAAGTAATGCAATACTGACACTTGCTCAATTTTTGTCCCCACAATTCCCCTCAATTAATCATGACACAGCGTGCCACTTTGATGCTTGGCGGTATGTTTGTGCACTGTACAGTAATGTACTGTACTAAATAGAAAATGCATGGCAAATTGACACTTTTATATGCAATGGCACTACTTGTTTACACATAGGTTAAGTATTTGTTGCTCATAGTTCTTGCTGTGTACTAATAAGTCACATGAGTGACAAACTTATGCATGTTAAATTTTTGAACATTTAAAAATTCTCTTTACAACATGGCATGTACCCCTACACAAAGTCTTTAATAAATGGCACGTTAAAGTATGTGTCATTGCGCAAACAGAATTCGTGCAAGTGTCAAAGTGATTTAAATCATTTAATAAAGTTATACTATTGCATTCCTAAATTCAAATTTACAATCAAATAACGATCAAAAAAACAATGAGGTCTAATAAGATAGTTTGCCAGGCAAGGTAACATACACCAACTACCAGCTGTCAGAAATGATAACCAAATCTTTAGTTGCTTAATAATGAATTTTCAAATAATCTTAAAATCATCTATAATTCAAAGCAAAAAGCTGAAACAGTTCATAAAATTTTCATCAAATTAAACATGAACAATGTCTCATCACTGTACACACAAGGGCAATAACTCTGAAACTGTTCATCCCATTATTACCAATTTTGAAATTTCATACCAAGTTATCATCGGATAAAAACTGCAGTAGTCTCTATCGTGCCTACAATTGAAATTTGAAAGTTTTTATTAAGTCAAGGGCAATAACTCTGAACCGTTCATCCGAATATTACCAATTTTGAAATTGACCGCGATCTCATCAATATATACATGCATACAAAGTTTCATCAAGATCAGATAAAAACTGTAGTCTCTACAAGAAATGTGAACAAACGTGAGCGTATAAAAAGCATTTGTCAAAAGTCAGAAAGTGACATTGGTGACATAAATTATGACATACATTTGTCTCAATTACCCTTTAAAGCAATCATATGGTCAAATCTTTAGAAATCGGTTCAAAGCATCAAGAACAACTACTATTCCCTCAACATTAGCAACTAAACAGATTTAAATAACTGCCAACTAGTTAAATAATGACTACATCTGAAAACTTTAAAATGCTACTCATTCACACAGTGGCAATATAGACAAATTTCTTCTGTGTGTGTTTCTTTCATGTCATCAGACTGTCCCCTTATAAACTTACAGGATTCTTACGCTGTTGACAGAGAATAGAAAATAAAGCTGTCACTTGAAAAGTATAGTAGAGTATTTTATAGCAGCTCTAATATTTTCCTAAAGCATCTGTAATCCATACCATTAAGCATTTGGCCGAAAACTTTGGAAAAAAAAACACTTGATAAAATTCATCAAAAAATCATATTATTCACATGCCAATGTGGATGTATTTAGCTAAGTTATAAAACTTAATAGTGGAAATGGTAAAATTATTCTAAATGGGGGGGAGGGGAATTTCTCTCCATCAGTTGATATCTTGACCTGTTTAGATCTGTGAAACGAGATCAGCTTTATCTCTTGTGGTAATAATTTTGATTAATAAAATGGCATTGCCACTGCACACACAATAAAAAAACAGGTTCATCAGACAATGCCAAAACCTTCTGTATGTTGTATTGCTAGTATGAGTTTCTCTTCAAGTTTTTGTTTTGAAGTATATTTAGGTAAGTCCAGTAGATTAAAACATGTATGAGCCACAGGTAGATATGTATCACCTCCATTAGTTGACTGGATTACCATCTGAAATTTTAAAAGATTAGGGTAAATATTCAAATAAAGGTGCCCTTCACATCATAGCCATCACCAGTTGTAAATAGTTGTGAATAAGAATAGTGGCCATTAGTTTTGAATGTAACTCTAATGCAACTGAGTTGTGACCACTTTTTTTTTTAAACAATATTTATTCAAGGATTACAAATATTACATACATATATATAAACATATGGTTTTGGAAACAAGCTTTAAAAGCTGATATAAATCCATTACCATGTTGTGACCACTTTCATAATTTGCAACCATATGCAAATGGTAATAAGATCACCTTATGAAGTAATACCAACTATGGAATCACTTGAGCGCTATGTTTGACCCCAGTGCAGAAATTCTATGTAGTGAGTTCTATGGAAAATGTGCCTTGTTTGAATGCAACAATAAACCTATTCCCTGTGTGCTAAAGGCTGTGCATTTTGACAGTTTAAATCAGAGGATAGCTTACCAGGCAAGGTAACACACGCCCACTTGTCAGAGATGATACCTAAATCTTTATAGACCACAAATATATTAAAGATCTTCATAATATATGAAAAATCCATTGAAAATTGTAGCTTCTACTGTTTCCACAAACAAATTTTAACCAATTTTATTAAGTCAAGGGCAATAACTACTTATCGAAAAATCGTCAAACTGTCAACTTGATCGTATCAATCTCAATGCTCACACCATTTATATAACAATCAAATTAAAACTGTAGTCTAAATTTTTGCCCACAAGAAATGTTGACTGACAAACTGACAGACAGGGGTGATGATAATATACAACCACATATTCATGTGGGCGTATAAAAAGGCTTATGCTGCAACAGCATTGAATTACCTTAGAAGTTAGATGTAAAATAACATTCATACAACAATGTGAAGATAAGTAATGAAAAAAATACATTTGCCTATAGCTATATGTCCACACATCAAAAATACAGCTGTGCAAAATCTACATTCGTTGTCATGGAAACACAAAAATAAATCAGGAACAAGTCACTTGTTTCAGATTCAACCATGATATCTTAAAAAAAACTAATTTTACTGGAAAATGTGTAACCTATAAAACATAAAATAATACTTACTTTTATACTTTCCATACCAAAAATAGAGATTCTATCACTACCCGTTAAAAACTCTAAAATAAAATATGCATTCATTGAAATTTTTTTTCAATTTCATCAATGAAGTACTAGATATATTTTCCTTCAACAAATGCAAAACAATGTAAGTTGAAAGAAAGGTCAAGGTTAGTCTTGACAAAGGTTCTCTTGGATAACAATGACTTTAATAACTAGTGATATTTTAACTCTGGCAATTCTGGCTTTCTTGTCTTTATCAAATTTATAACAGTAACTAGTGATATTTAGATCAAGGATTTTCAAATAAATGGATAACAAATACTGTTATAGATAACTTATATACATTTACTCTTTACTCTCATATGTATCATTGCACAATTATTATTTAAGTAATTGTTATTCAATTACTGAATGCAATTTTCATTATTTATATATATGTGATTATTAGACGGCTTATACTTAAAACATTATTTAAAAATTTTTTTATTTGATTATCAAGTTTGTAGAGATATGTCAACCAATAAGCAAATAGTATTCTGTAGTAATAGTTCTTTTTTATCAGGACTTGTAATCCTCTGTTACAATTATTAAACTAGTGGACCACAGCCATATACGCCCACCACGGCATGCGGATGGTAAATATTCAAGATTTTGGTGCAAGGGCAATAACTCTGCTTCTAATGGTCGAAAATAGCTCAAATTCGAACTTGATCTTCGTTTTATGAATGTGTATACACATACCGATTTCATCAAAAAATCTAGTTTTTAGAGTGTTTACAAGCAAATGTTGACGGACCGACGGACAGGGGTGCCGGCAATATACGTCGACATAGAGAGATGTGAGTGTATAAAAATGTAGACAATCCAACTAGGAGTATGATGTAATAATGATAAGAATTGATAAATACATACTTAGAAATTTCTTCTTATCTTCTAGTGATAAGTCATAAAATACTTCCCAGAAATACTGTATTGTAGGATGATAGCGATGATATTCATTTTTATATTCTGTATTCTACAACAATAATACAAATATAAGAAATGGAATATTTACTATGAAGTTTTAGTTGTATACTAGATCAAAACATCTGTCTCTATTCCAGCCTCTGATAGCTATTTGGACAGATGTCAACTGGTGTAGAGACAGAAAAAATAGGCCCTGTTAAATGGGGACTTACCGCATCTTTGCAGTTGCAAGGTTTTTTAAACCTAAATAAATACCTCAGATCTGCAAAACCCAGATATATTTCGTAAGATGAATATTTTTGTAGTTCAGGCACACCATCTCTTTCAATCTCTTATGTCATGTCTCCGGTTCCATCAAAGGTTTCTTTTAAGGGAACTGATCTTGCATATTCCATTCAAAACTGAGTGCGCAGCCGAAATGTCACAGAGTCAAAATGTAGGTTACAGTGATGCCTAACACTAATATACAGTCATCGTAATTTAATATCATGTGTTAATGTTATGAAAAAAATGCTTCTTCGGAGGTGTGGCATATACCCACTTAACAGGCCTATTTTTTCTGAATCTACTCAAGCAGCCGACAACTGTTAAAATATTCATCAGAGGCTGGAATAGAGGCAGATGTTTCGGACAACATGAGTTGGTAGATGATAACAACATGTTTAATACTAGAGTTCCTTCTTCTTACTTTTGTTAGATTGATAGATTTTACCAAATACTACATGAATATCTATGTGATATGGATTCAGCATGTATAGATATTTAAAGTTTTTTCTAGTATATATTTGAAATAAGCTCACTTCCTCTATGCAATTTCAATGAATGTCTCCAGCGTGTTGGACTAAATTTCGGTTTTCTGTATTCAATTTGTAAAAGTCTTGATTTTCAGACTTATTCTGTTGAACAGACAGTGTATTTTATGAAGTTTAAACCTACCTTTTCTAGTTCACCAAAATCATAGTTCTCATTACCTATAACCATTGCCTGTAATTCTAGTGGATGGAATAATTCCTAAAATCATACAAGAACATGATCATAAATCACACCTATTACATGTGTTGTGTTACAAAACTGTTCTGGTTTTGTCAAATTTTTATTTTAAAGGGACAGTTACTGCATTTCCGGGGGTTGATTTGGACCTAGAATGTTTGTAAATAGCCTTTAGAACTACTAAAACTGTACGAATATTGCATCATTCCTTCAAATAGACCTCAAACAAGAAATTTAACTTTTTATCTATATCGTTCACAGGCTTATCTTCTCTCTGAAATTTGAGGTATTTGAAAGTTGAATCGTGCTGATGGAGTCTCCGACACCAAGACATCTTATGTTGCAGCGGTGTGTATACTAAGTGGGACAGGATGATAAAGTCTACTGTATACACATGATGTCATCAACAGATATTCAAAATAAAAAATCTTTTAAAATGACAACTCAAACATAGATATTTATTATTTTAGCATAACAATTCATATTTTTGAGACCAAGGTATGATTTACTCCCGGAAATGCTGCATCTGTACCTAATTTTCATTCTTAAAATCATCATAAATTATAGCTGAAAATATTTCTAAAATTTGCCATTTACATCTATGTATCTATTTGATCAAACTGAAGTTGTTTAAAAATGGTTAATTAAAAATGGAGAGTACTAATTTTTAATTAAACAGTTTGACCTAGTTTTTGTGTTTGGCTTTATAATATTAGTTCAAACGATGAGAATATGTAGTAGACATATTTCTCTACAATTAGGCGTTTATTTTACTCAAATTCGTACAGTAGTTTTCTTAGAAAAAGTTCTCAAAAAGTTTACGAAAACCTTTTAAATACTTTTACTAAATACAATTGGATCTTTTTAAGCTAAAACTTTCAAGGGACATGTTTCTCTAGATTTTGGTGTTTAGTTCTGAAAATTTGAGCAAATAAAATTTTTGATCTAAATAAAAAAGACGATGCCCCTTTAACATAAAAATATAATGTGGTTATGACAAAGAATCAAAATCACTTACCAAAACTCTGCTCCCACACACTTTTAAGAAACCACTACTAAATGCACCATACTGATTTTCAACTGAGGTATTAAACACATAGTCAATATACGTATCAACATATTCCTTTCTACAAATACGAATGGTAGAGAAAAATTGACTCTTTCATGAAATAAAGTTGAGAATGTAGCTTTTGAATCAGATATAGATAGTGGTTTAGTTCAGGTAAATGAACACAAATGTATTTTATACATAGCTTAACGTACATACTACCATTGAAAAACCAATCTGCTTAAAATATGATGTATAGAAGATATTTCGTGACACAGAGACATTCATCTAATTACATACAAACTTTTCTGCTGATTTAACTCAAGTTGACCCTCGAAGACAGGCCTGTGCAGCCTACGGCCTGCGAGATGATTTCGTGCAGCCTGCGGCGTCATGTAAAATGGTTTGTTTGCTCATCACTGTCGGTGTGACCAGAAGATTGTCGCTGCTTATTCTGATATCGAAACCAGTTATATCTGCGCTGTTATATCAAAGCATGACGTCAAAATGAATCTAACCAATCAAATCGTTAACGATTACATGTTTCTCATTGTTAATTCGATGATTCATTGATGGTTGGTTACGTGGCCCACAACCTACTCGCATCCCCCAAATGTAAACCACCTTTGCAGAAAGGTTGCACAGGCCTGCTCTAAGACACTTCTTGAAATAAAATCCATGCTCAATGGATGCTTAATGCGGCAGGTAATTTGGCTTGACACAGTGAATGCTGATTGTTTAATATCATGATGTAGATAATATAAAAATATTTAATACCTATTTTCTTTATTCACCATTTTTTTAGAACCACCAGGACATAGTTCTACACTAGAAGATTCTCCAAATAATTCTTGTGATACCTTCAAAAACAAAATGTTAAATGAGGTTTTCAAACAATTTCATGTGAAACCGTGACACTGATGGCACCAATTTGCACCATTCCAATTTTCAATTAGATTTCTGTGGTTCCTGCAATTCCACTAAAATTAAGTGTTTGATGACATCACTAATTGCAAAATATGCCTTATTCAAACCATAAGGCCTTCAAGATAAGTGATGACATCAAACACTGAATTTCGTCATTTATGTATGTTTTTGAGATCAACGTCTACTCTTATATCTATATTTCGATATATCTTTTAATACAAAATAATACAAGCAGTTATTTTTGATTTAACTCCAGAACTTAGAACTATAGTTTGTGATTTTCAAATGAATACAAGCTGTTACAGCTAATATAAGCCACATTTTGACTCATTCCTTTCTTTACCTCAAATGTTAGTCCAAAAGTTTCCTCTACATTTCCATCAAAATCTAAAATACTCTGTAAGTTTCTGAAATTAGAATTCAACATAAAAATAAATTGCTTTTTCTGTACTTTTTTGAGCCGATGAAGACTTTCTATTCCATGCAATGTGTATCAAGCAGGAACCTCAGCTTTCATCTAGTTTTAAAGGAATACTACCTCTTAGAATGGAAATTTAAAGTCTTAGACTTGGTCAATAAGAGTATATACCAGGTACCGTAAAATAGAATCTCTATATAACACGATATATAACATTAAACTAAATAATTATTAAAACACACTTCTAAGCATGTTTCAAATTACTTAGTTTAATGAATTATTACTGAGTTTTATGCAATTATTGGATTATAGAGGATCTTGATGTATAGTTTTGACACTAGATAAGTCCAATGATTCATATAGACTCATTCTGGCCAAGTTTAAAATTTTCAATTTTTTGAACATCCTAAGAGGTAGTATACCTTTAATGATTAGATGCTTTCTACAGTTAACCTTTGTAACCTGCAATAAATCACAAAGGGAAAGCCTAAAAAGTCATATCTTACAATATCATTATTATTATGATAGATATTTTTCAGATAATTCAGATGAATTTCAGATACAAGATATCATATCATAAAATATCCAATGATAATAATCATGATTTTATAAGGGTGAGTGTAATCGAGATGTGATCACATTTTTTTTCTTCTAATGAATTGGACAGAACTTTTCCAATGGTCTTGGGCATGAAAAAATCCACCATAAATATGCTTCGCTCTATTGCCACAATCTCTAATTTCCAAAGTAGATGTCATGATTTTGTAACATATTTCACCAACACAAGTACTCAAATATTACGCAACATTTTGCCGAAAAATCATATCAAGTTTAGTGATATTGGGTCATATGATATGGACAGATATACATTAACCTTAAGCCTTTATTTTCAGATACAAATAAAATTTTAAGGATTAATGTGTTAAAAATCCAGAGATAGGCATCAGAAATTTAATTAAGCAATTTAAAGATTAGAATACAACATGGATATAAAGTGAAAAATTCTTAGTTTATTTCATTAACAATTGTTATAGTTATTTGATTATAGTTGTGAAGAAGATACTTTAATATCAAAATAACAAGGTAAGTTATATAGTTTCTATCTAAAATACTTAATGTATCATGATGAATTGAGAGTAAATTATTATATTATTTATTATCAATAAATACCACATACAAATATATAGTTGATATAATATAAAGTGAGAATCCCCTGACTTGATAGTGATAACTTTCACATCAACTATTATAACTGGAGATCAAAATTAACAAAGTTTTTCAAATTCAATTTAAAAGGCATTATCTTCAATCTAAGAATTAATATTATCATTAAAACCTTTTCCTGTGAAGTAAAGAATTTATAATACAATTAGGAACTGTAGAATCATCTGATTCCCTGTTTCACTTTCTTCCTGTTTTATCCACTGTGGCCTAGAGGTGGTAAAAATGGCTGCTGGGAACAAAGTGTCAACCTAGCATTAGTTTCAGCATTCAGCCATTTAACAGATCTACATTTCAATATTTTTCTTTTATTTTCAGATGAAGTCTACAATTTTATCTATCTTACTATTTTTGGTCATCATGAATATATGTTGGACACTAGTGGTGTGTTCATCAGAATCAGGGTCTGAATCTATGGAAAGCAGTGGAGATGATTCCAGTCAACTAGTAGCAACTACAGACATCTTAAGTGAATAAATAATAAGATAGAGAGCATGGTGTCAATTTCTATATAAAAATTAAACCACATTTCTTTTATATTCACAAAACTTTGTTCAGAGTAACTGTTTATTTTGTCTTGATAACTTATATTCCTTGAAATTGTGAATACTGTTGATTCAAGAATTTTAAAAAAAAAATATGACTAATATGGAAAACTTTATCAAATATTGTTGACTTTGTAACTTTTCTGTAGACAATATTGTTAATTTTAATTGTATAAAATATTGTTAATTTCTAAATCTTTATTAAATGTTGTTAATTTCTAAATCTTTATTAAATATTGTTAATTTCGAAATCACCCCCATTTCTGTTAGCCCACAGCCACAGGAACACAAAAACATTGGAACCTGTGCTATTCCATGTGCTCCTCATTCTATGTAGGCTTCTCCTGCAAGATAACCTGATAATTTCAGGGTAACAACAATCCACACCCTACAAAATACACACACCATGTCCCTCTATCTCAACTTGCTACTTTCCAAACTCTGTATCACACCATGTTAGACCAACCAAAAAGGCTGTCATTAGCATTTAGGCAAGCTATTCTCAGGCTTGCATTTCTTTCTAATCGCCCCTGCATTTAACCCGAAGCGTGAGGTCAATTTCGGTCTCACATTTGACTAGAAACGCCTCCTCATTAGGTCAATTTCTAAAAACTAATTCGGTTGGTTAGCATGTTTGACATTCTTTATAAAGTCGTTCCATATCAGAAGAATAAACTACGTCTATAGATGTGTTACATACAATTGGAATACAATAATGACCACTGGATGTAAAGTCTAATGCACGTTTCTTCCCAAAGATTTCAACTTCATCATGCTCAAGATCCCATTGGCATTTTTTTTGGCAGTTTTTAAACTTAATAACAAAGGAATGTTGGAATGAACCACATCAATTTCCAAAACAAACTGATGACCAACAATAGTGGTGAAACGGTTAGTGAATTTTATGAACCGGGTAATTGTCAGCAATAACCGTTTTTTACCCTGTTAATTACTAAAGATTATAAAAGGAGTCAAAACCGCATTTACGGCGGTAACTCACAGTTAACTAAACTAGAGTAAGTGTAAATGAGTCCCCAGGAAGATTTTGGCTAGTTCCCCGCGAATTGTCGGTAAAAATCAACAAATACCAAACAACCCATTCTGCTTCAATGTAAGATTACAAGCGGGCCTGACAGAGTTCAGATGGACTCGCGCCATTGTCACTCATTGCTACAGTCTCTAACAGATCAAAGGTTTTTATACCAGTTGTGGGGGTCAGTGTAATGAGTGTATCTCACTGAAGTCGCCGTGAATTAGTGTACTGGTTCAAAAACTGGTATTAAACTATTGTCTCAATGAATCCGTATTCATGAATATTAATAACCTTGAAGATGATTTACAGGCAAGAAGAAACAAACAGCCAATTAGAGGAGAGTTAATAAAAAGTAATACGATCTTTATAAATGTTTTATTCTAAGCAACTCGCACCCAATTGAAATAATAAAAATAATAACACTAGAACAAGCTTAAAAAACACTGTGTTACATTTCCACAATACAATAAAAATAATAACAAGATTAAAGGAACAGTTGCCGAACGTCTGATAATGATTACAGTGCTACAGTGCTTATTTGTTTAACCTAATTAACATAACGGTGCACACAGCTACTATCGACAAACTAAGATCACCGCAACGCAATTATCCAGGACGAATTATTAGTTGAACTTATATCAAAAAAGAAAACAACTTAAAGATTCATACAGTG